CCCCCCGCGGCGCAGACCACCCGTAAGCAGACGGTGCTTTACAACCTGTTCGAGTGGCCCAGCAGGCGAAACGCGCGGCTGGTGGTGGTCGGCATCGCCAACACCATAGACCTGCCGGAGAGGTGCCTCCCGCGTGTCAGCAGCCGGGTCACCTCGAGGCTCACGTTCGGACCCTACACGAAATTGCAGGTGGGTTACCGTACTGCTCTTTGCGGGTTGGGGGATCCGTGGAATCAAAGCGGAACCGGAATGAAATCAGCTGGTTTGGGGGTCCGTGAGATCAATGTGGAACCGGAGTGGAATAACGGGGGGAGGGAGTCCGTGGAATCAATGTGGAGCCGGAATGGAATCGCCCGGGTGGGGGGTCCGTGGGATTAATGCAGAACGGGAATGAAATCATCTGGAATATGAATTTATTCTCGACTTAACCGTTGTGAGGGGATTGATCGACCTATGTTTCTTTGTTGCGCATCTAAGAAAGGCCCTTGGTTTACCCGTACCCATAATCTCCAGTTTCGGATCGGAGCGCCACTTTTTGGTCCCTCACACCCTTACCAAAAGCCCAAGCCCGGGCTGGGGGCGCACCGTCGACCTCTAGGCCAACACCACGCACGAGGCAACCCCGTCCCAACGCGTGGCTTGGCCGAGAGGACCGAATTCTGCTGGTTGGAACGGCAGACATTTCGGATAAAGAACGCTCCTCCTCTAACATGGTCGCCGATAGTCTGGCCTAGCAGTGCCCTCTTGGCTAACAAAACGGCATTCCACGAGTGTTTGGGGGCGGGTGTTACGGTTCTTAACCCACAGTGGCGACAAGAACCGCAGAAGCTTTATATCCGAGCCGTCCATATGCTCGAACCGGCATCCGAAACAGCTCGCCGAGATCTTACAAGCGCGATTGGTGGAGGCGAACGCCATCGGGGGCAAGGCGAGCTCCGTCGAGGGCAAGGCGTTCGACAACGGCGCGATCAACATGGCCGCGGCGAAAGTGGCGTCGTCATCGGGAGACATGAGGATGTGCCTCAAGTACTGCCGCAGGGCTATCGAGGTGCCAAGTTTGACCTTCCTTTGGTGTTACTGTCGTCGCTGTCCCTGCTGCCGGGTGTCGTTGTACGTCGAGGTACCGCGACCTTCCTTGCCGCCTTTGGCTTTGCTCGCGTTGCTGCCGTTGTTCGTGTTGCCGCTGTACAGCAGCAGGTTTTGTTGTTGTTGTTGTTGTCGTTGTTGCTGTTTGGTGTAGATGTTGCTGCTGGATGCTCGAGGTTGATGTTGACCGTGTTATTTGTTTTGGTGCCGATTCTTGTTTTTTTGCCAGCGTAGTGTTGCCGATGTTGGCAAATTTGTTTTTGCTCGCGTCGAGGATCACTTGCTCGCGTTGACTGGCGTAGAGAATGCATGATTTGGTGACCGCCTTGTGAAACCAACATCTCACCGCTGTTGTGGTGTACATGGGGGTCGTGATGTTGCACATCGCCATATACCACTCCTACTTTTTCCGCGCTCCTCCAGGCACTCTCGTTGTGTGCCCCACCCGGGATGACGGGTTGGCGTTTAGGCGACATGCTCGACTGACAACAATAAATGAAAACGACAACGACGCCGAGGAGTGCACGTATCCAAAACCTTGGTAGTTGCCCCGGCCTTATAACCGTGGGCCGTAAAAAGCCAATCGCCCGCGGGTGGTAGATCGACAGCACCTCGTTGTGTGTTCAGGGGTGACAGGATACGGGGACTACTGAGGGACGACGCGTTTGTTGGCGGCAATACGTCCCTACGGCTGTATGCAATAGAGAACATCCATGCAAAACACGGCAACAAAGGCCCTAACGTTACGGGTATCTCTGCTGAAGATTGAACCTGGTGATGCCCAACGTCTCCTGGGCACGATTGCTCGAGATGGCCACACTGCGAAGGCAGGCATCATACACGCACCAACCCTCCCCGCCCCCCCGACCACCACCGGGCGTGCGCGAACGCCACATAAACCCCAGGTGTGCAAGGCGAGAGTGGAATCCGCCAAAGAGGACGGCAATGGGGACAAGGTAAGGCAGTGCTGTTAATAGAGCCATCCATGGCCGAACGATGCGTGTTCCCGTTGCATGCCGAGCCTGTTGGTTTCAACCAATAGGAAGACAGGGACCGGGGCAGTGCCGAAAGGTGGTGCACTTCTTTTTTTTTTCCTTGCCACGCTTTGTTGTGTTATTTCTCGTACAGTGATTTTGTTTTTATCAGGGTGTTTATTTTTTTTTCCTTGGGTTGACTCAGCGGTTGTCTCCCCATGGAAGCTCTGCTGGGCAACACCCGAAAGCCACGCGGCCCCTTCGCCAATCACTGACATCGACAACGGGTGTCGTTAGTGGTAGCGTCAACTGCGCTTACCCAATGAAAATGCGCCAGCCTCGGTGCGGCTCAAGACGCTTCTGTCATCACAAACTTGTATATCTTTGTGTCGTGTTCCTCTCAACAATCCAACCGACTCGTCATAGAGTCGACCGCGCTTAAACATTGAAAATTCGCCAGCCTCGGTGCGGCTCAAGACGCTCCTACCATAACAAAGCTTTGTGTCTTTTGTGTCTTTGTGTCGTGTTTCTCTCGACAATCCAACCGGCTCGTCGTCACGAACGAACGAACGCACCGCAGGTGTCTTGGGAGGTCTCCGTGAAGGACGTTCACGTTGCGGTTCGGGAGATCAACGAGCAGGCTCACCTGGTGGCCGTGAGGGACTCGGCGCCCCAGGAGAGGCTGCTGCTCGTGGCCATCACCAACGAGGTTCACCTCGGGGGAAAGGTAGGTTCAACTCGGGGGAACAGTAGGTTTACCTCGGGGGAACAGTAGGTTCACCTCGGGATAACCTAGGGATAAAAGGTTAATCTCGGGGGAAAGGTATGTCCACCTCGGGGGCTCGGGGGAACAGGAGGTTCACCTCGGGATTACTTAGGCATAAGAGGTTAACCAAGGGGGAAAACAAGGTTCACCTCGGGGGAAACGTAGGTACAGGGTCGTTTTTGCATTGATTAATTTGTCAAGGCTTGGAATGGCGGGTGTGACAAGGTGGTATTTGCTTTTGTTTGGCTTGGTGTATTCACTTCGTGCATTTGCCTTGTCTCTCTCTCGCTCGCTCGCTACTTTTTTCTCCAACGCTCTATCAAGCTCCACCACCTCTCAAGGTGCGACGAGCATTGACCACCATTGAAGGACCAGGTCAGCGCGGTGGCGTCTTCGAACAGGCTTGTTTGCCCAATTTTCTTTAGTGTCTGCGTCCGTTGGAGCTCGTGATCACAACGAAAGAAGTTTGACTTCGACTGAAATTCTAGTAGACATAGTGCAGCAGTGGTGTGTAAGTGCGGATGACGGCAAAAAGATTGTCGTGTTCGCCCTTTGGTTTCTCTCGGAAGGGCCATGCAAGTAGTGGTGAACAAAGAAACTTGGATTGCGAGTCCGTGAGGCTGGTGCAAGCGGGCGACGTTGCAGTCGTGGATCTTGAACTCACACCACCATTGATAGATACCCTACTTTGATCCTGAGCACCATAAACAACCGCAGCGTGATCTGCTGGCTTTGTCCGATCGTCTTGCTGGGCTGTGAAGCCTGTTCTTGCTCCGCCATATCTTGGTTGTTTCATCGCCGCCGCCACGCCGCCGTCGCGATTCTGAGTCCCCCCCTCGTCTTCCGACCTCGATCCCCTCTCGTTCTGCCTGTCCTGTGTGTGCTTCTGGTAGGGCGTGGTGGATATGGACGACGTTCGGACGCGGATGGAAGGGATCTGCAGGGCGCACCCGAACGGGCCGAGGATGCCCAACGTGACCACCATCTTGGAGATGATATCAAGGTAATAGATACCATGGTAGGATCTCCGGTGCCTCGCCCGTCCCGTACCGTTTTGAAGCAGTACCGTTCCGCCCTTCCTACCATACACGCTTTCGACATGAAGGAAACAAACGACAGAACGAAAGCGCAGGCACACGGGTATCTTCTGTGGAAAGCTACCCACCCACCGGTGCGCGAGTGTATTCACCTACGACACCAAATCGTCGTTCTGTCCAGGAAACTCGAATGTCGAGGATACGAAAGAGCACCCAACGTGCTATGCGTGCAGCGGCGATTGATTCGTCATGGTGTGCTATGCATGCACAAGGGTAGGCTCTTGCGCCCCGCGTGCAACCTTTCCACTTGCCGCACAATGGCACTGCGCAAAAGGATTATACCAGTAGTCTACGCAGGGGTTTATTTGCTAACTAAGCAAATATTCTGGGTATAGTATGGAATCGCATAAGATGGGGCTGGTGCTTGGCTTAGGCTTAGGGTCTGAGTGCCCCCTTCCTGGCCTTTTTTCGTGATAGCCTTACTTTCTTTGCGTAGGCTGCAGTCCAAGAACACCATACACACACACTGGTCGCCCCGGTGGTCTAGTGGGTAGCCGCTCAGCCTGCTAAGGGCCAGGTCATGGGTTCGAGTCCCGGCAGAGTGAGTTTTTTTCTCACTAAATAAATCCTGGTCTAGGATGAAAGCGATGCGCTGCAAAGCTCGTTGTTAGTAAACCATAATCGACTTCGTAAGTCGCGAGGGAACGGATTGCTGTACCCTTCTCGCGATAAAAATACCTCAGGCATGAACCGCAGGAGGGGGTCCAACCCCCCCCTCCCATGTGACCCCGGTTGGGTCGTCTAGCTAGCTAGTAGAAGTGGAGGATAGGGGCCAGAGGGGCAGACGACAGGGTCCAATCATGGGAGAAAAACAAACAACTCTTATGCATTCCTTGCTCGTCCGAAGACCGGCTTGCCTAATGGAAGGGGAAAGTGATCCGACCTCCTCTGGCGCGGCCGGCATGCAAGCTGAGGAAGGGTACCACGCAACACCAGTAACTATTCTATAGTGCGGGCAATGCCCCCCGCATCCCCTTCTCCCAGTCGCCGGCCAATGCCCACTGATATTTTGGGTACCGAGCAGCCGCCCAAGAGCGCGGAGGGTGGCTGGGCGGAGTTTACTGTAGAAGATACTACCCCCCTGGATCAATTTCTCCAGTCTGCGGCACGCATCGATGACGCCGACACTGGCGCCATTGGAACTGTCTCTTGGAGAAGTTCCGAAAATGTATATCATGTTGACATTGTAACCCTCTGCATCGTAGAACAGTTTTGCTTTATAAGTTAGTCCGAGGGGGTATGGTATCGTGTGCGACTTGCGGAAACCGTGCACAACCACCCGCCGCTCCTCCTTCGCTGGTTGTTGACCGATGGATCGATCATAAAACCTGAGAAATACTTTTGCACTACAGTAGCAGTCTCGAAAAACTCGTCTGATGTCTCGCCCCGCTACACAGGATACACCTTCACGTTTCTTTTTTTTTTTTCTATGTCAGGCTGGCAGCGGCTCAGGTGCTCGAGCTGGTTCTGTCGCGACGGACCCCCCTGCCAGATGTGGAGCTCAACATGACCGTCCGGGATGTGGTGCAAATGTTGAGGGACGATGAAGAATTTTCCCGGAAAGTTCTTCCGGACGCCCTTGTCAGCGAGTACCCGACGACTTCCTCGCTGCCGGGTTAAACGAAAAAAGTCGACCGTGTTTTTTTTTGCGTTTTTTTGGGAGTGCACACGCGCTGTGCGGTTTTTGTGTAGAGAGTTGTGCCGCAATGTAGTGCAGAAGGCGAACGCTTGAGAGCGAGAGACAAGGCGGTCGCGAATTTTCGTTCACATATCTCTGGTCAGGCCCCCGTTTTTCCCTTTGTGTTTCATGTGCAGATCGGCCAATGTAGGGAGCGGCAAGGCGGAGAGGCGTTTCATATCATTGACGGCGTGTTGGCTTCTTGGTTTGACGGGGGAAACAGATTGGGAGCTTCAAGCCTTCAAGACAGCACTCTCACAAGTACGATGATGCGTTCTCTTCATACGCACAGAGTTTCACCCGTCCCTCCCACGCGTGGAATGGTCAAGCACCCTCGAGGCAGTTGCACAGTGCTTACAACTGTCTCTGGAAGTGAAAGCACCAGAAAACATAGTAAGTCATACGCAGCTGTCATCCGTACGCAAGGAAGTAGGCACAAGATGCCGAACACCCTTAGCAGGATGCGGCGCACCCTTCATGCGACTCGCCGAATATCTCACGGCGCTTCGCGCTTGGTGATGTGAGAGCCTGGTCCGGTGAGAACCCGGCGTGCTCCGTCCCGGCTTTGTAGTGATGCGAGGTCAATGGTCTAACGACTACGGCATGCACGACTATGAGTACACCCCCCCTCCCCCCTCCCACGCGTGTTAAAACTTGTTTCGCTGTTCACTTCCGGTGTGTGCTGCATACACTTTGTGTGTATCACAACAAGACTGACTGGTTGAATTACGCTGTTCATACTTCTAACGGGGGGAGGGCATCAGGTCATGGAGGTCGAGGAAAATGGTAGTATCCGCCAGAGTGGAAAGACGAGGGTGCTGTTGACGTGGATGATGATGGTAATGGTGGTATGCATGTGGAGGGGACCAAAATGGTGGGGTTGCCGACCCTACTGCATTTGGCTTACGGTAGGTTTGCACGTACGGCCACCATGTGCTGTGGGTCTGTTGTCGATGCTGCCAAGTCATTTGCGGCATGTGTCGGAGTTTGTCATGTCGGGTGGCGGGATTGAACGTGTGTTTCACAGGAAAACTTATCCGAGGGTACTCTATTATTTTCTAGCAGAATGCACAATGACGACCATTCATTGCTGTTAGTAATAATTTATGATGATAAATGAGCATTCGTGCAACGACTACCATCTCTCGTGGTACACCAATCGTTCACAGCTTGTGTTTATTGTTTTTCTTTCGAATTGCCTTTTTGCATTAATGTTTTCTCTTCACACGCGGGGAAGAGAGAGAAACCACGCCGACAGAACACGATTCCTGTAGACGCCCTCTGCGCCTGTCCTACCGTGTCTCTGTCCATTCATTCTACTGTCTCTCTCTCTTCCCAAAGAAAACAGCCCGGGGTTTCTCATTCCACCGGTGTGGGGAACTCTTCCTACTGTACGGAACATCTCAGACGACCAAGTTCCCAAATGGTACTCTACCATTTACTCTACCC